GTTTACACTGTATATAAACAATATTTTTTTTAATTACTTTATATTTTATAAGTTGGTAAAATCTAAAATTCTAATATCATTTTCCTTTATTCTGCATTGCTCCCTTAAACAATCAATCTCCTAATATATTTTGATTCACAAATGATTCGCGAGCGAACATTTCGATGTAGGGAACTTTTATGTTAAGTAAATATCATAGAACGGTCGGTTGAGAATTGTTCTTCAATCAATATTATTTATGATTTCACTTCAGCTCTTAATAAATTATTTTTCGTAAGATTTTTCATACAGCAGGTTAAAGAAAAGGTTTAATGTAGCACAAAATATACGATATTTTTTAAAGAACTTGTTTTTTATTGCTTGATTTTAAGAATTCTTAAACAAAATTGTAAAGAAAGAAATATGTCCTACTTTTGGTAGCACATCATTATGAAAGTCAACTCACTATTTTTATAAGTTCTACTTAATTTACAAATGAAATTTATTTATTAACGTTATAAGTACAATATTATATTATATTATTATAAAGTAAATAAAAATAAAACTTATGGAAAGTCTTAATTTTTTTTTAATACCTATTCACTTATATTTTAATCGTAATCATACGACATAGTTATAAGTTAGTATTGACTAAGAATATCTAGCTACGTTTTAATCAGAACACATTTCTTTACTATAACCTAATAAACATAAAATATTTAAAACATCACTCGAGTATCAACAGTGGAATTTTCGAGTTTAATACGAAGACCTCTTTAGTATGTTGAAGTTTCTCAAAACCATTATTCGCTTTTAGTTGATAGGTCGTCTTTATTACACACACAATTAAGTTTAGACAAAGTAAAAATAAACGTAGTATCGTTAATAATAAAAGGGAAGACATTTTTGACGTGTATTGACGTGTTACTGTTTAAAAATGTCACCCTAAAATTATCAAATCAGGTCATTTTAAATCTTGTAGGTATCTGGCAATGTACCCATTGATTTGAATTATTCAATGTATCGAACTAATCGAAGTCCGAATGTGATTAACCTATTTAATAATGTAAAATGTTTAGTAACGTTGGTACTACGTGTATTGGGCGACTCTCTTATTTAGAATTACTATTTTTTTATTGACTTGTATCATATTAAAGTTTCTATTAGAGATCTCTTTTAAGAGATTATTTTATTTAATGCATCACATATATTTACTACAATACGTAGAATGCGATAGAAATATAACATTAAACCAATACAAAACCTTTATGCCAGTATCGATTATGTAAGTTAACCGATTTTGCGATTTAGTCGCTAATTGTATTTAAATAATATAGAAATGGGCTTCACTTAATCCTATGCTCAAGAGTTTTCAAATACATATAAATAAAAATTGAATTTATGAATTTCTTTTGCTTAATACATGAATATGTTTGTTTTATTCAAAACTTTAATCCTACTTATGGCCAAAGCTTCACCCTCCTGACTCTTGCTTTTAAAAACATGATTGGTTCGCGTTGAATCCAGATTGTTACCGTTTGTCTAACGGGGTCGGCATGTATTTTAACTACACTCAGTATTTTGTGTGTCCTTCGGTATTTTTGTTATTTCATGTCAATGTTCCTACATTTTTGTATACTAAACCAATTTCATGATACATTCAATAATAGAATGAAACATCAAACACCTGACTTAAACTGTTCTAATACTGTTATGTTAAAAGCGTATTTTTAAGTAGTTTCTATAAATATCATAACTAACCTCTCTTATACATTATATTATGTTGCTGACAACTAATTGAAAAGACACACATGCTACTGTTAGTATACGGAGACTTGTAGAATAGTGCATAGTGTTGAAATTTATTCTTTGTGTTTTATTTTATTGCTTTTCTAAACAACTCAATACCTTAAATTGTCTCCTACTCATAAATTTCTTTTAATTCCTACTCATAGGTGTCCCAAACTTCTACAATATATGTTTCTTCAAAATCTTGCCACAACGCCATATGATACTGACGAGTGAAGTGGTTTTCTTAAGAATTTGCTATGCGAATAAATCAGGCGCAATGATTTTTTTCTTTTGGGATGGTCCCAAAGCATTTAAGGTTAAAAAACTGAGAAGTTCAAATAATAATTAATTGTATTGTGTTATTATTCATTTCATATAAATTAAATATTAAATAACATCTGGTTACCGAACTTTGCTCGGTATTTCGGAACTATTTGTATTTATTTCGTGTTTTTTTTATTTCGTTTAGGAATTTTTTAAGTGAACACGTTAAGATGACACAAAACAATATAAATCAACAATTAATTTCTTAGTCTAACCTCAAAACAAACACTAATTGACTTTCTTGTTCTTATCAACGCCATCTGCTGTTGTGTCGTTAAAGCAATTAGCAAAATAAGTATTATTATTCGTCAATAGATAGCAGGAGAGTCATATTTTAAACGCCGCCTTTTTTAATTTTTTTCCTAAAATGTCATTTTAGATAATGATTCCTGGGTAGATCGATTTATCACCGCCGAAATCCCCTATCTACTAAATTTCATGAAAATCATTGGAGCCGATTCCGAGCTGACGCTGAAATGCCTTAAGTGACGGTAATGGTATGTTTCTTGGAGAAGCAAACAGTTCGTCATAAAGTCTACGCGATTCCGCATAATTACAATCACATTTCCCTAGACACATTAACATATTGACATATTCCTGGTTGGAGTACATTTTATGAAACAACACAATTTTATAAAACTGTAACCAAAAAGTAATCCACTCGGAAGAAATTTCTACGAGGAACTAACTAATAAAAAAAAAATTATTAAAAGGGCGGCATAGGCTCGGATAAAAAGTATCGATATTTAAAAAATCATAACAATAAATAAATATTTAAGATTCATATTATCAAACATTAATATTATTTTTGATTGTATAACACCATTTTTATCCTAATAATACAACATAATTACTTTACCTGAATAAGTTCCAAATTATAATATTGATTAATAATATTTATTATAAATAATAAAAGTTATTTTAAATGAAATTATTTTAATGTGAAAAGCATAACTATTTATACCAATATTGAAAATATCTATAGAATATTTATCTATATACCTAATTTTTAAACTTGCAAATCTCTATTCGAAAAACTAACAAAATAATAATAATAACGCCGGCGCTCCGGCGCCTGCGATGAATGGCCGCGCGTGCGCCCGCGCGACTATACGGCGCCTTAACTGTTCAGATGTTCGAAACATTTTTTCAAATAATGTCGATTTAAAACTTATTTAGCCTATGCACAGTAACTGACCTGTGCTTGATATTTTTTAAGTTATACTATTTTTAATAATAAGCCTATACTTATATGTATTCATGTCTTCAAGGGTTGACAAAATTTTTAGAACACGCTGTATATACATACAAGAATTGCTCATTTAAAAGATATGTCAAAACATTTTTGTGGAAATTATTATTCTAAGGCCACTTTCTTTCTCACACCCTATAAATTTAACATACTTTTATATTTGTTAAGCAGATGTTACCTGCATCTTAACATTATAATTACAGTAAGTTCGGATTAAAACTAAACAATTTCTAATGTTATTATTTACAAAAAAGGTTTTCTGTTATAAAAACAAACTAACTTCCATTCAAAATTAAAATATTTGGTGAATGATTCTTCATTGAATAAAAAATAATTGATTGAGTATAAAGTTCATTAATATTTATTTGAAAATTGTAGAAGTAAGTTGTAGTACTTATATTTAAAGTACCAAAATTAACCAAAAATTTAAAGTTAGTACATAATAAAAAAAACACATATCAATTTTATTTTTTATTACACAGATACATTATTCGCATATAAAATTGTCTAGTGAGACTATCTAATAAAAGTTAAGCAAATTTATACCCCATTATCATTCAAATTAAAACAATGAGAGAATAATATAATTCAATTTATTAGTTCTGTTGGGACATTTACAAAAAAAATTACAAAAGAACAGATAATTAAAACAGCATTGTCATATAAGTTAATAAGATATTAACTAAATTCAGTAATTATCTAATATAAAAGAAATATATATTGCAAGTTTTTTTCTAAATACCCAACTGTATGTCAACATTAAATTAACAAACAGTTCTTCATTCACTTCATAGATGGCGTTGTTGAAAATGTAACAATTATTGTTAATAAGTAATTAAAAATTGCACATTTCCATTATTGATATTAAATTTATCAGAAACAACAAATATTTCAACTAACATCCCTCATATATCAATCATACACAGATTTTAAGAGCAATCATTTAATATAAAAGTTGGTAGGTACTACCAAATTGACAGATTGTATTGTTACTAACATTTAATTATTAAGAATATTCTTGCGATATCTGTTGCGTCGAAAAATTAAAGTCAATTAAGCGATTTTTGTTGTTGTTGTTACTTTTGTTTTTATTAGCCCTTGTTTCAATGTTCAAAACAAATATCACAAAATATTATGAATCTGCGGATTCGAAAACCTTTGACTTGCTATTAAGACTGTTGTATTCAATAGTTGGGAGTATTTGTCTACCTGCAAAATGAAAATAAGAATTAAATTTTAAAGTTCCTTTATACTATACTACTATCAAATAAATTTAACAATATCTTTGTATATATATTTATAAATAAACTTAGTAATAATATTTTAATTTAAACACACTAGAGCAATTTTTATAAGTTTAATAAACTGATCAAAAATTACAAGACTCTTATAATTAATAAATCTACCTTGAAACATATTTAAGAAGGAAATTTACTAATGTATATACAAGAAATCACTTTTCGTTACTGACTCAATTAATGCTACATAGAACTCAAGACTTCACCAGTTAACATAATCTTATAGTTGGTTAAACCCTTTCCTAAGGTAAGTTACTCAAGTAAGGTAATCTAAAGTGTACCCTTTCCTAGTTCTTAAGCCCTTTGTTGACATAAGGTAGTAGTAAGTAACTGTTAACATAAGGTAGTAGAATTATTTACCTTTTCTTGGGCCCTTCATCCTTTGCTTTCTTCTCAGCCTCCCTTCTCTTGGCAGCTTCTTCTCTCTGTTGTCTTATGATGGCCAGCCTGGCGAGATCCGCACGAGCCTCCTCCGTCTTGCCGAGAGCATGAGCCTTCTGATACGCCGCAGCAGCTCGCTGGCGCTCGATTTCTTCACGTTCACGCCTGTGAGAATATAATTAAAACATTATTACATTATAATAATAAATCAGATTACAAATGTGCCTTTATAGAATAAAATCTTCATTATAAAATAAACTATTTTATCTTTATATTGAAATACAAATAAAACAAATTTGTATAACAAGTAGTAATAATAGCAGGGTCTTTCCCAAAAAAGAAATCATACATCAAGATACTATTCCTATTTAAAACCTACTTTTAAATCTATGTGACAAAATAGAATAAGGTATAAAGTATAATTGGTATAATGAGTAGAATTAAGGGGCACTGAGCGACAGCATAGTTCAGTACAATATATTTGAGACATATGTATCTATCTATAACCTTGGCACTGCACATATTTATGTGCATAGGTTATAAGAGTAAGTACTCAGGAATATACTACATTATACAAACTATGAAATACTGTAAAAGATGTAGCTTTTTTTATTTGATAACAATATAGCACAAAATCCATCAAATAGCATAAAAAAAATTTTACAACTAAAATGCAATATTTCATACACTTCAGGTTGAAATCTCATTCAGTTCAGGGCCTTTTTTTAAAACATAATTTATATTCCTCATTAAACTTCAAGAAACATAAGAAATGCATAAGAGCTTACTATTCTATGGTAAGTCTCATAAACCATTAAAAACCCAAACTTAAATCTTTGTTAATAAGTAATTTGTGTATATAAGTATTTGTTTTAAACAGATGTTAGTGTAAAACATATTTAAATTGAATTCTATATAAAAGTTATGTAATATATTTTCACAGATAAACAGTTTTTTTATTGGCAAATAGGTTTCAATATAACCCGTTTAGCTCCAATATAAATAAATAATACTAATTTACCTGGACAACTGAGGTTTCTCTCCTTCCCCGATAGTATTCAAATTTGATAACTTCTTATTTTTCTTAACTACTCTGTTGGGATTTTCTACTTCAATTAGGCCTGATACTCCCTTCGCCTTAGTTGGATGCTGGAGAAAATATAATAATTGTTTCACATATTTTATCCATAAAAATAAAAAATTTAACATTTTTATCAATTTAATCATTACTAAATTTTAGAAATGGATTAATAGTATATTATGTGCCAATTAAGATTTGCCGGTGAACATAATAGAAAAGTTCCATCAATCAATGAATTTTGCATACAACTAGTCATTTATATCTAAAGATAAATAACATATTACCTATAAACATTTATAGAGAATATCTAATGTATGTATCAATCCAGCATTGAATTAAAACAAAGAAAAATTTAAAGATAACTATCAAATACTAAATACCTCGTCATCGGAATCACTATCATCACTGCTGCCCGAGCCCGATTTAGTATCTTCTGATTCTTCCTCACTAGAGCTTTCATCTCCATGTTCCTTTCTCCATCTGAAGAATATTTTATATCATTTCAACCAATATTTCATTCTTTAGTATGTCATATCAAATATATATTTAAAGTTATAACATAATCTTAATATATCATATTACCAATTATGTTCTGTTTGTTACTTTCTTACTAAAAACTTTTTATAAAATATGCCCAACCTAACTGTGATACAATTAAGAATATAGGTTGGTAGAAATAATAATCTTTTAAAGACTAGTAGTTGAAATATTATATAGTTTTTAGATGTTCTAAGTGAGTGAATTTGCACTGAAGAATCACTTTTCTAAGATGACTCATAATTATATATGAATATCAGATGCTACAGGTTGCTCTATTACTTTTAATGGTATATACTTGCTTTTGTTTCTGTTCCTCTTGTTTTCTCTGCTCCTCAAGTTCGTCGGGACTCGTAAACTTACGGTTACGGCCCTTGTGGTTGGTATACTTTCCTATAAAACGAACAGAAACAGGTTAATGAAATTTTTAGAAGCACACTACTTATAACATTCAACGACATTGATCTTAAGTACTGTAAGATTTAGGGCCATCTTACCACGTGGCATTGTAGTAGGCTTAGGAACAGTTTTTTTTTGTTTTAGTTCTTTTATGATTTGGCTGTATAATAATGTAAGCAGGATTTATTCCGGGTAAATAAAAAAATATTAATTTTGCATTGACGTATTAAGGGCAACGAAACGAATATTCAGTTCTGTCACAGATAAAAATTATGACAGATTATTTATTTGGTTTAGGAGACTGTATGAAAGATATTACAAACAAAAATTTATAGGCAGGTCAAAATCACAATTTAACAAATATGACTTATTTATTAATATTTAACTGATACAGAAAATTTATGAAATGTTGAAAAAATAAAAACGGGGTGAATAGAATTATATTCTGTCATGTTCCACTACTTAAAACTGTATTTACTTTTAGCCTTACAATAATAGTTTTGTGAAAATATTAAAGCTTTGGAATTATTATCTTCACACAGTAATACCTTCTTTACACTACTCTTTTGATTAAAAAGCAAGAATCTAGTACGGTGCTAAAAAATCATTTAACACGGCTCGCTATGGGAAATTTTGTTTTTCGCTTTTTTCAATTATTAATTATTTTTTATTTGCCTCATAAGTATATTTAATAAAAGCTTAAAAATGTTGTATTTCCGTAGTTTGACCCTTTAATTCGTTTAAACAGTTATCAACGTGTGATTAAATTATTTTAAATCAATACCCAATCAGAGTGTTTTTAAACTTGAAGTACAGTAATCAATTTATTTACGTCGATAAAAAGGCAAAGATACATTTAATTTTAAGTTACACTTTGAAAAAAGAAATAAATAAAAGTCTTATCAATTGGCTATTTATCTTAAATGATTGTGCAATAAATATTTTTTTAGGTACTAGACTGAAATCTCAGTTTTATATTTTGGTCTAATTATATTAAAATTAATTTTCATTATACTAGGAAACAACAATTAACAATTCGAAAAAAATATTTAAAAAATAATATTTAACCGGTTACATATTCCCGAACACGATTAGCGCGCAATCTGATTGATATGCGACGTAAACAAATGTCATTAGATACCTAAGTATGTGGGTATCGTAAGAGTTCGTTGACATTATTTGACAAATCACGACTGAGCCATATTGAATATCGCGTTAATGTATCATTGTAAATAACTGTCATTCTCGTAAGATTGTTTTGTATCAGTTATAATCTTTAGACTGGACTTTTAACATCCAAATGATAACTGATTGGGTTCACTATTGTTATGGACAAAATTGAAATTGATAAAAAATATATATATTATCTTTAATAGTTTGTTTAAAATTTTATCTTTATTAGATAGCCACTAGAAATGCTTGATTTCGTTTCTACTGTGTTGTAGATCATAGGTTTCTTTAAAATAAAATATGAAATTAGTAATATTGCCCAATAATTTAGGAATTCTTATTATTGACTATTATTTCACGAGCGATAAATGAGTAACGTTTATACATATTTATAAATATATGTATAATTCAATGAAAAAACTAGAGTATGACATTGTTTTGTCATCAAGAAGCGTGAATAACGACTTTATTAATTATACAATGTGTAATGATACCGTACATTCCTACATAATATTATTATAGCCTCAAAGGTGCTATAAAATTAAAATTGAATTATAGTCAAGACAAAGATGTTTGTCAAAAAAGCTACCTTTTTAGTTACCTACTCAAATAATTAAAGTGAGAAACGGCTAAATAGTTGTGAGCTCAGATAATGACTTCGTATATCACTAGCTCTGTTATTATTTTACAATTTTTTATTATTATTTTTACGTATTCTTATACATTTTATATAAAAAAATATTAATGTAATCTTAATGGATTTTGTTTCGCACCGCTCTATAATGATCAAAATTGAATAACGCGCACAGAAAAAATAATATTGTGTGACACTAAGGAGTGAGGTTCTATTTATTATCACGCCTTCCGAAGTCTTCGCATTATATTAACATGGAGCTGACAATAATGACATAAACGTAATCAATCATATATCTCATATGTTTTATATTGTTACAGAACAATATTTGTCAATAATGGAATTAAAAGTTTAAAACAGTTTAACAAATAATTAGAATTCGAAAATATTTTGTTGCCCTTTTAGTGCATTTTTTCCTTCTTTTTTTACCTTATTTAGAGCTACTTGTTTACAAACTTATTAAACCTCTTTTACTTACTTCTTTAGTAGTTTTAATTTATTATCTACGAATTTTATTAACAAAATATGTAGCAAATATTTTACGTATTTCTTTATAGCCCGAGCGCCCACAACGGCCAGACTCAGTATTTTATAAAAATTTAAGTCTTTCTGTACATGTTTATTCCACAGGAAAGAACTACCGGCGACTGTGGAGTCTGGGTTGTGGTTTGGACAGGAAACAGGTAATAAAGGTGTTTGAAATAGGACCTTACTCTCAAAGTAGAATGCTCAATTTTTTTACAGTTTCCTCGAGATAACTTTAGTAATCATTTGAGGGTTGCTACCCTCTGTCAGACACCCCTAAACTTATAATTATACTTTCTATGTAGTATGAAATCTGATTTTATATAGGTATGTTACCTTGAGATCTATAAAATTATATTATCTCAATAGCCGGATAATTTTGATGATTACCAATAAAACTGTCATGATTTCTCTCTCACACACGCAATCTGTTAGTTAGTGGCGTTTCCTTATAGATTTCAATTATATGCGGTAGAGCCTAGCTCTGGTCAAGTTACTACAGCTCGAACAGGGGCTGGCTCGACTCGAGAAGTACCACCCTCTTACAGTAGTTCGACGTGAAGTAGCCTCTACTAGCTGCGTTTCGTCTGATAAGTGAGAGAGCCTCCCTTTCCCACTTTTTCCTCCCCCTCTTCCCTAATCAAGGGTGGTGACATATAGGTAACAACCCTTATGTTAAGGACGTCAATGGGCGAAGATATTGCCTCAAGGTAAACCGTCTGCTCGGTTGCCCCCTTTAGCATGAAAAAAAATATTATACCGAACTATGTAAAGAGGGATTTGTGAACAAGGTCGCAACTAGAGTCTAAGAACTTTGATACTGCTGTGCTGTCTTGGTATAATGGTTACGTCTATTACAAATTACACTTGACAATAAATATATATAAAAAAGTGAGCTGTAGATATATTATTTACTTAGTGAAATAGAGATTGGCAATTTTAAAAATACTGAACCGTAAATAATAAGGAATATATCAGTACTAATATGCGGTAGATCCTACACCGATGTACACAACATACGTAAAAGTTCATATTTTTCTTGTTGCCTAGAGAGTTAAGACTATAAGATGTCCTTAAGAAAAAAATCTTGATCTTTTTATTTAAAAAATAATAACATCTATTAATAAAAAATAATGTACATCAGTAAAACTATATATACTTATTCATGGTTATTCATATGCGTTCTTATATATTATAATAATTGTTATGTACATACATATTGAATATTTTCTTGATTTGTTGTTTCACGTTATGTTCTAGTAACTGCAGTAAATTAAAACCAATTTTTAGAATACAATTCTACACATATAATTTTTTTAAAGTTTGCCTTGATTTATAAATTTTAATCTGATAGGTTTACGGTTTATCAAAGTAGTTATAAAAATAAATCAAAAATGATACTTCTGATACAGAGTTTATATAAAAAAACCATCTAAAAATACCAAAATGGAACACTCTCTAATATGTGCAGTCGTTGACCGGCGAATTTCACTGAATTTTTATGTTTATCCTGTTCAAAAGCAATCGGCCAGCGCTGAGGTTAGTTTGAGTCAAGGTTGATCGCTTATTTACTATGTACGGCACACCATCGCCCCCAAAACCTAACATTTTGACGGATTGTTCCTGATATGCGTCACAAAGTATTCGCCTAATGTAAATCTGCAAACGATTCCACTAACATAGATTTTGGTCAACAGTAAACAGTTTGTATGCCGACAGTACTTACATTCGAAAGTAAATTGTACTTATGTTTTTTACGCTGATTATTAAGAAACATAAAATTGTGTTGTATCGGTAAAATATTTATACTTAAATAATTAATTTTTAATAATAAATAAAAAAAACGAATGCTTATTTGAAATTTAAAATTATTATGATATTTTTGTTAAAATTTACTTAGTTTTAATGTATTTATAAATAATTATGAAAATGCTAGTGTATTATAATATAAAATTCTTGTGCATTTACGCTATTAAAACTAAGTTACATTAACCTACTTTTTTTTGAAATGCTTACGTCACAATAAGATGCTATCAAAGATCGTAGTAAGTACTAAGTTATCAACAAGATTCATCAACAATTCATTCATTGTCTCATTCAAATGATTGTGGCTTATTCTATTATTTTATACTCATATTTATGTTGATATACACTACGTACGGATCAGTATGTACCGGTATATTAATGTAAGGATGTTGTAATTACTCGGTCTAAGGAAAAATAAAATCATAATTGTATTCGTGCATAATGAGATGAAAAAATATACTAGGAAACAGCCAAAGGAAGCCATTACATGCGAAAAAAGCATTATTAGACTTTTTTAGTCTTTAACTAGTTTATAATTAAAAACGAGATTTAAATTAAACAATGTTATAGTTTAATTAGATTAAAGTCATATTTGATGTCTAAAAAAAGGTTGCATATCTGAATCCAAAGCCGAATCTTTAACAACTGTTTTTCGTGTTATCTAAACGTATAATTTTAAAGGTGCCATTATTTACAAAATGTTTTATTGAGTACATCGTTAATGAAAAAAACTCTGTAATCAAATGATATAAAACACTCTCTTGTATTTGAATGATAGCAACGAAAATTACCAAAGCTTTATCGTAACGGTACTCAACAAAGTTTAAGGATAAACATTTTTCTTTACGACCTACATTTCACTGATTAGATTCTCGATATATATTTATTTTCTTCTCTTATTCTTTTTAATTAATATATTTGAATATTGTGATTCAGTATAATGTAATTTAATTATATACAATTGCAAAAAAAA